GCCGTACCCCGGCCCTGCCCTGGCCCGCCCGGCATCAGCAGCCGCCTCCGCTCCGCTCCTCGCGGCTCCTGCGCTGGTAAGTGCGATGCCTTTAAAACCCAATTCAGGTTTAAGGATGAGAATGTCAGGTATCAGTCGAACAGAATGAAGTGGTTGCTCTTTAAATTAGAAAAAAAAAAAAAATCTCGTGTGATGTGATCGATGTGCTACAGTATGTCCTAATTTTCACAAAAATCAGTGGTACTGCTGTTTGTGACACTAAGGTTGGGCCTGAGAGACTAATTGTGATAACAAATTACTTGTGTAGCTGCCAAGTATGCTAAAAATAATTATCTCAACAATGTTTAAGGGAAAATATATCTGCTGAAATTGTAACTGAATCTGAAAAGCGTGCATGCCCAAGTACCCGAGGCAGGATTTGCTTTCTTGCATGATGAAACCTGCTTACTAGCAAAGGATGCCCTCTACACTAGTGTTTTGGTTTGGATCGTGTCAGCACTTTTTCAAATGATTCCAGTGATCTTCTCTATTCCCCATGCTTTGGTTCACACCACTGAGTGGCTTTAGAGTACTTGCACTGTATTTCTTCTAAATAAAACCAAACTGGAAGATGCACTCCAAATACCAGTAGGTATTCAGTCTGCAGGACCAAACTAGAACTAGTCCAGTGTAGAAACCTCTGAAGCAGATACAGTGTGGAGCAGGTCTTCTGCACCAGCTCACTTCTGCATACCCTTTCCTACTGCATTGCACTACTTGCTGATGTAAGTATAACTAAGATTCCCATGGAATCTTTTAAAAATCAAGTTTTCTAGAACTGGGGATGCTTTAAAAAAAACCAATCCCATGACTTGCATTGCAATAAAAAAAAAAGACATATTGGTACTTTATAGCTCTCTTCCCCCATAATTTTTACAAGCTACTTTAACAGACACTCTTGGGAAGATTGCTATACATGCTGGGCTACAAGATCCAGCTGCATATAAGAAATCAAACCAGAATATGTTCTAAGCCTCTGTAATACTGTAAATAAGTGAGGTAACATCAGGACCAGACTTTCAAGAGTTGGCAGCGGTCAGAGGCACTCAGTGAGGTACCAGGCTTATTGCCTAGCATCAACAAGAGGCAGTCAGCAAGTACAGAGGCAATAAAAGAAGGAGCTTTCCCTTTCATACCTTACAGGTGGATGTTTGGTGCTTTTGTTGCAAGGTAGTAATAACCAGTTAATAGGTACAAACAGCTGGACAGCAATTAAGTATGTCTGCCAATTTCTAACTGCGTTGATCCATGCTGCAGAAACTTGAGTATGGATTTTTCCAAATTCCTTCTCTCTGCTTCATTTAAACTCTAAAAAATCTGGTTGTATTGCTAAATGTACCAAAAGAGAGTAAAAGAAATAACCTCTAATTTAATGTATGGAAATAATAAGCAGATATTCCACAGCAAGTCAATGCTTAATTCTGTCAATTGTGGTGTTGTCACTTATTCTGAAACCAGCTGAAGACAACAGAAACAAGAAAGCTGACACCGCGAGCTACATGATGACACTAAGTTCCTCTTTTATTTTCAGAAACAAAATAATACAGATAGAAGAGGAACGAAGTGAGAAGTTAACTAACAAAATGAAGTTACTCATCTTCTTTGCAGTAACTCTGGGCACGCTTGTCACAGGACTAGATTCTGTAAGTTTTTAAATTAATGGTGGTGGTGGGCTTACTTGGAACCACTTCTGGTTTTGATTATGCTTCTGCTTTGGACAGCATAGTCTGCTTTTGACTTGAATTTTCCTTTTTGCTGTTTTTGCATGTACACATTCATCTGCTGCACATATACCTCCAAGAAACATGTTTTTGAACCCTTTGGTTTTTCTTCTGATTCTGCTCTCCCCTAAGATGTCTGCTAGCATTCAAATAGTGAAGACGTCGTGCAATAACCAAGAAATCTAGCTTTTCTGTTTTTCTCTTAATGCAATTTAGACCTGGACACTGAGTACCAAGAGCTCACTGGTCTTTCATGGAGGTGGATAGTGGGCCTTAACTAAATTTCCACCTCCACAACTTGAATGTGTGAGGCTAAAAAAGGAGTAAGAGATTAATTTGAGTATTTTTGACTATCAGCAGAGACATTCACCAACATTATGGAATTATATTGTTACTGTTACTTGTTTTAGCTGAGGCAAACCCACTTGACCTCTGGGAAAAGTATACTAAAAGCTTAATTTTATTTCATTCCATGACAAAAGAAATATCCAGCCTGCAAAGCAGTGGCAGGACCTGAAGTACAGGGCAAGAATCTATTGTTGTTGAAATCTACTGGCTTTTACTCCATGGCACAACCATGAAGCACCAAGGTCACCAAAATGACAGAGGCAGCTGGAGAATATTGCATCTTTGCTGCACTGCTTGGTGGCTAAGAGGTGGAGAGAGAGATGTTCCCTTCCCTGTCTTAGGAACACTGACCATTGAGAGCTGCTTAGGTCCTTATAGCAGAAATAACTGCAATTTTAACCTGATGCAGTGGACCAGATTGGCGGGGTTTTCCTGAGGGGTTCTTGTTTTGTGTGTGTTTTTTCTCCATTCTGCTTTTGCTGGAGTAGAGTTCTGCTTTTCATTCACATCTAAATTCCACACAGCAGGTTCAGCTGGTAAATACATTCAAAAAAACAACTGTTGAAGGTATGCAGTAGGGAACAGGGCCCATAAAACATAATCAAGCCACATTAAAAAAAAAAAAAAGAAAAACCCCCAAAACCCCTGGTTCCATTAAAACCTTCTTTGTTTTCTCTTAGGTTTATAGCAAGAAGTACTACAAGCTGCCACATAAACACAGATCAGATCACAAGGGTAAATATCTGCCTGTTCTACTTGAACCTGAAAAGAACTTGTATGAAGATGTAATTGCAGGTTAACAAGAAGGAAGACTCTTATTAATACTTAAACACCTAAAGCTTAACTTGCAATCACATTTCACTTCACCGTTCAAATGTTTTGCCTCTAATTAGTGATATCTCTCACTTTCAGAATGCCATTGTTTGAATGGAGGAACCTGCATTACCTATTACCTCTTCAGCAGAATTAATCGTTGCGTATGCCCAGAAGGATACACTGGGATTCATTGTGAGCTAGGTAGAGTATCTATCTTCTGTAATACTAACTCAATTGATCAAAAAGATCTAAAAAGATGGGCAAATCACAAATATGAAATGTCAAGTGAATGTATTCCCCATAAGCAAATGACTGGATATTCTTTAGTGTTTTATACTAACAGACTAAGTGAGGACAAACAGCTGAGTATTAGTGCAAAATCAGGACTTTTTTTTTTGTCCCTGCCTCATAACGTTGCCTGCCTCCTCACAAATGTTTTAGTTCACTTTTCCCCCCTGCAGACCTATTTAGGAGTGTTCAGAAGAAGCAGAAGAACTGATTATATACTGAAACTATTAAAGTAGCAATACGCATGCTTTAAAGTGTAAGAAAGATATTTGATATTCAAAATTCCTATAGAACAAATTTAATAAGAATATATAAGGAGTCCAGATTTTGCATCATCTGTCTTCA